AGCTCTGCCCGCGGAGGGCAGCGGCCGGGGCGCCCGCTCCGGGCTGAAGTCGCAGAAACACTCCCATGGTGCCGTCGGGCGGCCTCACTTGGACACCTTGGCCTGCAGGGTGCTGGGCAGGTAGAGGTACCTCCAGATGGCATAGTAGTGGGTGCCGGCACCGAAGGCCACAAAGAGGTGCCAGATGGCATGGGCGAAGGGGACCCGGCCGTCGCTCTTGAAGAACACGGTGCCCAGGCAGTAGAAAGCCCCTCCGGCCACCAGCTCCCAGAGGCCCTCGGTGTTGGGCTGTCGGCAAGGATGGGGTTGGGGGGGCCGGTCAGAGGAGCGGCCAGGAAGGTGGGGAGTGCCCGGCCGCTCCCCCCGCACCCCGAAAATGAAAAGACCTGGTGAGCCCGCCCGGGCTCCTGGGTGGGGCGTCAACACCATGATGTCGCCACTTCTCCCGAATTAATTCTCACATGTGATGCGTTTCTATTAAAATCTCAAGGGACGTTTGAGAGATTTTTACCTTTTCTCACAAGTCAGACCCCTGGCTCCTGCCCAAAGGCAGTGAAAGCCGGGGGGGAGCCAACTACCACATCCGGGTTCCCAGAGCATCACCCCCCCTCCCCCCCGCCCACACGGGAAGCAGCCCAGCGTCCATCTGGATGTTGGATGAACAAACTGGTATTTGTGCCCTGGCTGGGTGCTCAGTGGTTAGAGCATCAACCTGTGGACTGAAGGGTCCCGGGTTCGATTCCAGTCAAGGGCATGTACCTTGGTTGTGGGCTCAATCCCGGCCTTGGTTCAGGCGTGTGCGGGAGGCAACCAGTTGGTGTCTCTCTCACATCGATGTTTCTCTCTGTCTCTCCCCGTCCCTTCCACTCCCTCTAAAAATCAACAGAAAAACATCCTCGGGTGAAGATTTTTTTTAAAAAAGGACTCAAGCCCTAACCAGTTTGGCTCAGTGGATAGAGCGTCGGCCTGTGGACTCAGGGGTCCCAGGTTTGATTCCGGTCAAGGTCATGTGCCTGGGTTGAGGGCACATCCCCAGTAGGAGGTGTGCAGGAGGCACCTGATCAATGTTTCTCTCTCATTGATGTTTCTAACTCTCTATCCCTCTCCCTTCCTCTCTGTAAAGAATAAATAAAATATATTTTTTAAAAAAGGACTCAAGTATGGGAGGGAGCGGCCGAGGGGGGGAAGCCGCCGAGCCGGTGCCCATGCCCCAGGCCCACCGCATGCAGGTAACCTGCACGAACAGTGTGCAGGATCCTTCCGGAAGCCGCCCCTGCACGCACATACACGTCTGCATACACAGCGCGCACTTCATGGACACACGTGTCCCAGGAACGCACCACGCGGACCAGGGAGCTCCCACCGTCCCCTCTGCACACCCATCCCCACCAACGCCTCCCCGTCAGGGCGGCCTCGGCTCCGAGCAGCCTTCCGCTGAGGGACGCACCCGTGGCCCTGGGGGGCTGGGCCTGAGCGGGAGGGACATGATCACAGTCACTAGCGCCCGACGCTGCTCAGCACCCGGGCGCCACGTCGTGCCCCCTTCACGGCAGCGGCACGGGCAGGGGTCACTGCACGTGACCGTCACAGACGCGCCCACGGCATCGTGCAAAGCGAGAGAGCACGTTGCCGGTGTCTGTACAGTGTGATCTCATTTTTGTAAAAGGAACGCCAACAAGTCAACATGTCTGCATGGCCACACAGACCTGCGTGTACATTTAAAAATGGGAAAGACAGACAGGAAACCGTTCATGGCCGTGACAGCATGAGGGGGAGGGGCTGCTGCTGTTACACGCTTTTGCACCAGGCCTATTCTTTGCAGTGAGCAGGTGTTTAAATGTGCGTTTGCTATACAAATGTAAGTGCGTACATGGATATATTTAAGTACGTAACATGTGATTTGGTAGCTATTACATAACTGAATAGATGTAGCTTAAATACGCCGATTAGCTCACTGTCCGCCACAAGCGTCTGTAGATGCGAGCGGGGGACCCGCCCCACACGCCACGCGCGTCTATAAAAAAAATGTTTTCCCTACGGGGCAGCCCTGACCAACTTTACAGTCATTTTTTGTGAGAATTTTCAGCTGAACATATTCAAAAACACCCGAATTGTGAGTCATATGTTTATTTGTATAGTATTCGTTGCAAATTGATTTTTCTAATTAAATTCAAAATATCGTGGCGTGTGGGGATGGTTCCGTTTTGGATGCGTGATCGTTAACTGGTTAAATAAAAATAAACTTGGGAAAAGCTAACCTATAAACACGGAAACAGGTCAGGAAAGACAATGGCACAGCCCTCACTGCCAAGTATTCAAATGCGATTAGAGCTGCAGTAGGCGCCGGTTTGGTGTTAGTGTAAAAACGGGCCCGCCCTGCCGGTGTGACTCAGTGGTTGAGCATCGACCCAGGACCAGGAGGTCCCCGGTTCAATTCCCTGTCAGGGCACATGCCCGGGTTGCAGGCTGATCCCCAGTAGGGGGCGTGCAGGAGGCAGCTGATGGGTGATTCTCACTGTTTCTATCTCTCTCTCTTCCCCTCCCTCTCGTTCTCAAATCAATAAAACTTTAAAAACAAAAACGGGCCCATCACTGGAACAGAACTGGAATTTGAGAAACAGACCCTGAATTCAACATCGGAAAAGAGGGGCGTTTTTCAATGGCTTTTCAGTGGCAGGTAAATGAAATAACTGCTGACCCTCCGGGGGGCCTCACCATAGACAGGATTAGAAATGAGACGTCAACCATAAATGGAATGTAAGGAAATACAAGTCAATATTTACAAACCTCGAGAAGAGGGAGACCTTCGTTAAAAGCCATAAAAATTTTTTTTTAAAAAAACTGTTAGATTTTACTTCATAAAATTTTAACATCTGCCAATAATAATAATTTTATTTTTTTAATATATTTTATTGATTTTTTACGGAGAGGAAGGGAGAGAGATAGAGAGTCAGAAACATCGATGAGAGAGAACCATCAATGAGTCGCCTCCGGCACACCCCCCACCGGGGATGTGCCCGCAACCCAGGTACATGCCCTTGACCGGAATCGAACCTGGGACCTTTCAGTCCGCAGGCCGACGCTCTATCCACTGAGCCAAACCGGTTTTGGCAATAATAATAATTTTAAAATAATACTGTTCTCTGGCCTGGCCACTATGGCTCAGTTGGTTGGAGCACTGAAAGGTGGTGGGTTCAATTCCCAGCCAGGTTCAATTTCTGGTCAGGGCACATAGGGGAGGCAACCGGCCAGATGTTTCTCTCACATTGATATTTCTCTCTCTCTCTCTCTCTCTCTCTCTCTCTCTCTCTCTCTCTCCACCCCCCCTCTCTCTAAAATCAATCAGCATGACCTTGGACGGGGATTAACAGTAATAACAGTAGTGATACCGTTCTGTGGCCTGGGAGGTAATGGGCGGGGTGAGTTACTGTGTCCATTTAGCAGATGGGGCAGCTGAGGGTCAGAGAGGAGAGGCCCTCAGGGTGTAACCTGTCTATTCTACCGCCTCCTTAGGTGGGTCACGTGGACACACTGAGCCTCGGTTTCCCCTCCTGCCAGAGGAGACGGCTCTAGGTGACGACCGGAGCCAGTCTGGGTGCTCCCCAGGCAGACGGAGGCCCCAGGCCGGGGGGGTGAGGGGGGGACTCACCATCGAAAGGATGACCACGGCGGGGCAGAAGCCCATGGCCATGTAGCACAGCAGCTCCAGGAGCTTGTACCTGCAGGAGGAGAGGCCGCTGTGGGCGCGGCCGTCACCCCCCGCCCCCCCGCGGGCGCTGGCAGAGGGGTGACCTCGGCAGGTCTCATCCTCTCTCTGAGACTCGGATCCCCGTCGTTATCAGGCCCGGGGCAGACATAACCATTCAACCCTGCACCTGGGCCCCCGGGCCCAAGCAGCCGCCGTCCGAGGACCTGAGCGCTGCATCAGCTGACACCCACTGCGGACCCGCAGGTCCCGGCGTCGGTCACTCCTTCTGCTCCTATAGCCCCGTCTGTCCCTCACTAGTTACTCCGTCGGGTCGCTCAGCTGATGGAAGCAAACGGGGCCCCGAGGGCTCAGAGCCGCTGCTCCATGTCTGCCAGCACAGCCTGGGGACGGCAGGTGGCACGTGACACCCTGCAGTGGGCCTAGGAACCCACCGTGGGCTGTGGACCTGTGGCTGTCCACGGGCCTGGACGCTGGGACACCGGGCAGAGCTGTGCCCTCAAGCCCCCGGGACGTCCTGGGGTGTCCTCTCCCCAGGCACAGGAAGGAGACCCTGCTGGAGCCCTGAGGGCCCCTCACCCCCCAGAGGCCCCCCTCCCTGGCCCCCGGCTTACTGCTCATGGAAGAAGAAGACATAGACGGTGCCCACGGAGGCCATGACCCAGACCAGCCAGCGCATGTGGGCGGCCCAGGGGCCCAGCTCCCGGAGGTTCAGCCTGCGGAGACCCGAGGGCACAGTCTGAGGGGCCCCGGCCGGCACTGCAGGGCCCTGTGTGGCTGGCCAGCCCGGGGACACTGTCCCCGCAGATCTGTCCGCTGTGGTGAGACATGGACTCTCGTGGGACACGTGTGGAGAGACACAGAGAGAAAGTGACACGTGAGCAATCAGGAGAGGGAGTGAGCCACACGGCTGTCTCTGCACGGAGGGGAGGCAGGAGGCCAGCTGGGGAGAGTGGCGTCCTGATAGCCAAGGTTGCAGGTTCAGTCCCCGATCAGGGCACATACAACCAACAGCCCATAAACAAACAAACAAAACAGAAGAAACAACCAATCAATGCATAGATAAGGAGAACAAACCAGTATTTCTCTCCCCCCCTCCTTCTCTCCTCCCTTTCTCTCTCCCTCTCTTCCTGCTTCCTTTTTTCTCTTTCTTAAAAAAAGGTCGATCAATCAGTGAACGGTGGGCCTGCTGGGACAGCCACCAGGCAGGACCTGCCAGACTTCGCCGTGCGCACACGCGTGGCCCGCGGTGCAGCTCCAGGGCCCAACCGGGACACGCGTGTCGCTCCCACACCGTCCATGCCCCTTCTCCCAGGCCAGCTTTTCCTGGATG